CTTCGCTCGACATTTGTCCAATCTCTAAACAACATTGATATCTCTAAACAGTCTTCTGCTAACGAATATATGTGGTCTCCAATTTCAAATCTTGTCGCGCTGAAAGTTGTCTTCGAGCTACTAATGATCCTTGAATTGCTAGCACATCCATCACCATCCTACTAAATTTTGGAAATTAAGTTACATGAGCCCTCCACCAGTTCAATAGTTGTGGTATACCTTCCTTGTTTGAAATATTATTTGTACCCTGTTCAAGATATTTAACGAATTCACATTTAAAAGAATCAAGACCAAGTTTATGTTTCATTCTACCATGGGCACCTACTTGAGGCATAGAACTTTGAGGATTTTCAACATTGTCTAAGGAACAATATTTATCATACATTTCTTTAGCAAGTAATTGATGATATTTTGACATGTACATATGTTGGCAAGCCATGGTTTATGGGGGCTGTGAGTTGTCTGAACTCTCCTCCATAGTGGTGCTCAATTCTATTCCCAATAATATATACTTTCTCTTTTTCTGGTTTGAGGTAATTGCTCAAACTATCCTCTTAAAAGACAATGTTTCTCTTTGCTTAATGTAAAAATACATTTTGGGTTGAGATAATTACTCAAAAGGGGTCTCTTTAAGAGGTAACTGTTCTGTGCTTAATCTTTCTGAAAACTCTTTTAACTTTTCTAAAAAAAAGTCTACTCTTTTTCTTCATGTAAAAATGAAACATTAGGGGAAATACTTCATTCCCCTATACTCTTTCTCAAACTGCTCTTTACTTCCTCAAAACTCAGTTTAAACAATAATGTTTTGTTTAAAAGATTCTCAATAAGAATTCACTGACTACTCATGGGTGTTGGGTTCAACTTCACGGGCGAGGTGATGGATCGTGGACCCCTTCACGACCTGTGAACCTCTTTGTAAAGGGGCTTTCAATGTTTACCCTTCACCACGGTTTGTTGTACGGTTCGTAACACCCTGTACGGACCGTACAACCTTCCGTACTTGTGCACTTATTCTCAAATTCCAATTTCAAGGTGTTACATTATCATTACTTTTATTGTGCTAATCCTTGCCCTAAGACACTCACTGAATATCATTATCTAAGAATATCATTATTTTTGTTTATGGTATGTTAGGTAGCAAAGGAGATCTCACGTACATGAAGACACGTGAACAAGGAGTACTTACTGACAGGGTCGTCTCAATAAGTTTGGGGGCCTAAAGCACAATTTCATAGATAGGCCTTAATTATTTATTCGTCATATGTAAATTGAATAACTATATTCAAGGTAATCCTACAAGTGAAGTCTCGAAAAGGTAGGATGTACACATACCTTAAGAAATAAGAATGTAAACAATGAAAATTTTCAATGAAAAAATATAATATAAAGTTGGAATATTTGGCTCAATTTTTAAAAAAAGTTTATATAATAATATTGAAATATTTGTGTTGAATTTGATAAGTTGATATAACAACATTAAAATAGTATTTGATTTGTTGCAGTACTTGAAATTAAAAAAATACCCCCAAAAAAAACAAAATTCGATCTTTTTATAAACACACAATAGATTTTGGCTTTTCGCTGTGCTCCTTTTTTTCAGTTATAGGGCGGAGAGAGGGATGCAACTGAATTGTAAAATATTTGACCGTTTGATAGACTTTAGAATATTCAATAATGAGAGAATAAAAAAAATAAATGTAAGAATTGTAATGAGGGTTCATGGTAATCGTCAAGATATAAACAAGTCAACAAAATAGGTATCCATGTTAGAAAGGATGCTACAATTAACTAAACACTATTCAATTTCCCAATTATTACAACGACCTCCACATTAAATAAAGTAAACAGTTACTATTATATTTTCTAATTTATCAAGACATGACATAATATATATATATATATACACACACACTAGTTTTCTGACACGTGCGTTGCACGTGATTACCAATTTCAAAAATATATGTTATGGTAAATAGTATTGCTTATTTAAGCGAAGATTTGAATAATATGCTTAGCAAAAAGTAATATTACAGATTCTTTTGTGAATGTTCAATGTGGATCGTCATATATATATATCTCTTATTCACGCAAACCTATAAAGATGGTCAATGAAAAATTTTATTAGTTAAATGCAATTATGTATATATTTATTTCAATTTGATTAGGTTCAATCATGTAATTAATCTTATTTCACTAATATTACGTTATAGACAATTTGTTTTGTATTTTTCTTGTCAGAAAGATATTCAGAAGCATATATCTACATCACAAGAGAAATTGTTCACAAAAGCAAATGACTTTAGACTACATAATGTTAACTTCATATATTGGAACATTACAAACTAATGTGTATATTAAGCACAAAAATAATTAATATGTCATCAAAATTATATTATTTTCCTCAAGTACTCAAGATTATGGAATATACCCTCTTAGGATAGACAACTTACTTCATCAAAATAGTGGTACCTCATATTCCGCTAAACTTCAAACTCACTCAAAAGACAATAAATTACACAAGGAATTTTAAAATGCAAGAAGAAGAAGAGTAGAAGATTAGAAAAACTTGTGGTTGAAAAGTGAGAGGAAGTCCCTCTATTTATAGTCAACAAAGGATAGTATGAACAAATATTTTTTTGTGTCTTATCTGAAAGATCATGACCTTTCCGAGATGTCACAACACTTTGGAAAAGTCACAACTTATTGAAAAAGTCAAAACTCCTTGGAAAAAGTCACAACTCTTTGGAAAAGTCGCAACTCTTTGGAAAAGTCACAACTTATTGAAAAAGTCACAACTCTTTGGAAAAGTCACAACTCATCGAAAATCACAACCCTTTGAAAAAAGTCCCAAGTTATCGGAAAAGTCACAAGCTAAGTTGGGATATTATAGTAATTTAACATTCAAGTTAGGAGTTCATGCTTCTTTTATTCACGCAAACCTATAAGGATGGTCAATGAAAAATTTTATTAGTTAAATATAATTATGTATATATTTATTTCAATAATGTAATTAGTCCTATCTCACTAATATTACCTTATAGACAATATTTGTTTTGTATATTTCTTGTCATTTAACCAAATGTTTTTTGCATGTGTATTCTATGTTAAATTGTTTAGATGTCATATGAACATGTGAAGAGAACAACTACATTTTATATATTCACATATTTTCACATTTGTTGTGAGTTTTTTTTTTTTTTTTTAAAGAACTCGGAACATTTTAAAATAATATATTTTCAAGTTAGAAGATCTTGTTAACTTGATAATACATTTGTGACATATATAATACTTTAATTTAAATACAAATACCTACCCAAATATAAATATATATTTGCATTAATGAAAATATTTATCTCATAAAATTAGCTATTAAATAAATAATAAAAATTAAACTAATCCAAACTTCTATTGACGTTATTACAAGTCATATGAACTTTTCTTCGTCTAAAATACTGAAATATTAAGAAATAGTAAATAAGTAAAACAAAAGGGCGATGTTTATATAGTAATAACTATTTTGAAGCAAACTTCCTGGGAGTCTAAATCACATAAGTAACATTGATAAATAAAATCATTCTTTTGTCTCGATCATCAAAAATAAATCGTGACAATTCTCTAAATTTTGGAAAAAAGATATTCAGAATCATATATCTACATCACAAGAGAAATTGTTAACTAAAACAAATTACTTTAGACTACATCATGTTAACTTCATATATTGGAACATTACATACTAATGTGTATATTAATCCAAAAAATAATTATTATATCATCAAAATTATATTATTTTCCTCAAGTACTCGAGGTTATGGAATATACCCTCTTAGGATAGAACGATTTACTTCATCAAAATAGTGATACCTCATATTCCGCTAAACTTCGAACTCACTCAAACAACAATAAATTACACAAGGAATTTTAAAATACAAGAAGAAGAAGAAGAAGAGTAGAAGATTAGAAAAAATTGTGGTTGGAAAATGAGAGGAAATCCCTCTATTTATAATCAATAAAGGGTAGTATGAACAAATGTTTTTTGTGTTTTATCTGAAAGATCATAACCTTTCCGAGAAGCCACAACACTTTGGAAAAGTCACAACCCTTTGGAAAAGTCGCAACTCTTTGGAAAAATCACATAATATTGAAAAAGTCACAACCCTTTAAAAAAAGTCACAACTTGTCGAAAAAGTCACAACTCATCGAAAAAGTCACAATCTAAGTTAGGGATATTATAGTAATTTAACATTCAAGTTAGGAGTTCATGCTTTTAAGGTATATATATATATAGAGAGAGAGAGAGAGAGAGAGAGAAAATTGGTATATGGGGCTCCAAACGATTGCTTTAGTGGCCTTATGATCGAGACGACCCTTGCTTACTATTTTCAAATTGTTAGTGAACTCACAACCTTGTTCTTGGGATCCATTGAGTCATTATTGCTTTCTAGTAACTTTTAAGTTATGTTATAAATTAGTTGCAATCTTTTCACAAAAAACACAAAAGATAAATGCTCTATAATGATAGTACTTGGTATAGTCATTGTTTGTCTATTGGGCATGTTACCATGCTCAAATTATTTTAATTTATATTTTATTTAACCATTGCTTGACTTAATTATATATAATCGATCAAATTAATAATAACAAATCATTAATGCACAATTCTGTTTTTATAATGTGCTTTCAATATGGTTCTATAGTATTGAATATATGTTGCGTCAAGATCGGATGAGAGACATGTCACACAAGATCATACTTCTAACAAAAATATCAAAAATTAGATACAATTTTTCAATTTTAATCACGTACATCTATAGTTATTTCCAAAAAAGATAAACTTATAAATTTATTTTAACTCTAGGTATCAATTAAACGACAGACACCAAAAACGAATATTTGTGCACTTTGTTGGTGTGTACAATTCCGATATGGGCCACAAAAAGCCCAAAAAAACACGGTAGCTGAAAACAGTCGAGATAAAATCTATCTTTCGGGTCCGCAATTCCCAAATTGTTGTATTTTTCCTTGTGGAAAAGAAGATCTATGCCAATCTGTTATCATCGTGTGTTTTGATAACCCTTTCATCTCAAAGTCCACCCCTAAACCTATAAAGTTTCCTCAAGATCTTCCTTTTTATGTCACAAGTACTCTCTCTTTGCTCTTGAAATTGTTTTTTTTTCTAAACTGGGTTTTTTTCCGCTTTTGATTTTGAACCCAAAAGTAAAAAGAATGGGAAAAAATCAAGCTTACAAAGCTATGCAGCGAGCAAGGTTGGGTTCTGGCTCAGGTGGACCTGATGAAGTTGATGATGGAATGGTTCGTCCCTTTTCACACTATTCTTTAATTATTAATACTATTTGAGTTAAAGTTCATTCTTTTTTTGTTTTGAACGTTTATTTGGTTGTAAAAAGGAAATTGTTTGTCCATTTGGGAATGTATGTGTGCTGTTTTTGCACATGGGTATTGCTTTATATGAGATTTTCTGGAGTTTATTTTATCATTTTTGGTTCTAAAGTGTACTTGGTGGTTAATTGTGTAAAATTATCTGCTTCAAGTTGGTTGGTGTGGCAGAAAATGTTCTCTGTAGGACATGTTTTTGGTGGGAAGTATGTTACTTTGGAAAATCATTTTCTATTTCCAGTGTTTGGTTGGTTTAGAAGTTGGTGACATACTTTGGAAGATATTTTTGGATATGAAGGTTTGAGTGGTTGACAACAATGTTTTAGTGTTGATTGGAGTAACTGATGTGGATAATTAGTTGTAATACTTTTATAGGAAAATTACTTCTGCCAATAAGTGTGGCGCGAACATTTTCTCCATTTTGGTTAAAAAAATTATTATTTTTGGAGAGAGCATCTTCCCCAGTTCAAGATAACCAAACATTGATAATGTGAGGGGACACAACCATTTAAACGAGCTCTATGTGAAAAATGCAAGTGGAAGTCTTTGATTAAGCTTCATGATGGTTAAAGATAAGGAAAAAATTATTTGATTGACTGTATAAGACAATGAAAGTCTAATTAATGGGAGGTGTTATGAAGATAGATCCAATTCCATCCAGAAAGTTAAATGGAATTGTATAATATCTTTCTACTTTTGGTGTAATCTGTAAGTATCTTGTTTTCTAGTTGCTGTTTTTTTTATCTAACACTTTTTGATGGTGTCCAGCATGTCCTTAATGCTGAGGAATACACATTTACCAGTTTCAAAAAAAAAAAAAAAGTCTAATTAATTTTGAGTAGTGTTAACTTTAATTCTCTTAGTTTGTGTTTGGTACCTACATTTTTCTTCAACTTTTTTCTTAGAGTTTATATAATTGAGCTAACTTTTTTCTATTTAGTACATTGGAGTCATCGAGAATTGTCTTTTTCTTTGTTTCTTGTGCTTCGTCTGATGAGGACTGTCGCAGGTGGATGGTTCTTTTCATACACCAGAGTGGCATGCGGCTCGTTTGGCAAGCCTCAAAACTTCTCATACAGTTACCTGGGAAGAGTTCAAACAGAAACAGAAGGTAATATACTCAACCACCTGATGGTCATATGAGGTGTACATAATCTTGGCTTGCATTTCCCGGGTTTGCTTACTTGGACTGCATTATTTCGTTCTTGATCAATTTGTTTCTTCCTGAAGCTAAAGAAAATGTTGGTCAATGTAGCTGTTACATCAAATTACAGTTATATAAGAACATGGTTGAATTTGTTTCATAAACACCATTGTGATTGGCTTTAATGATTGTAGAGATATGTGAAGATAGAATGACAACACTTAAGAAGTGAACCTTGGAGAATAATAGGAAAAGAGGAACTAAGTATGCTTGGTTATGGTATATAATACTTGATATTTTGCAAACACCACTAGGCCGGCATAAAGAGGAACAATTCTAAGATGCTATGTATTTAGATGGCCTTGCTGTTTTCACTAGATGGTTAAGTACAACTAGCAAGTCATCGCATAAACTTTTTCTGCAAGTGTTTGAAAATCGGACTCCAGGGTTTGCACCCACTACATTGACCATTAGACGACACCCTTGGATGCTATTTTTTTAGCTGTTACTAGCAACCTGGTCATTGGAGAAGTTCTGCATTTTGCGAATGATTTATTTTTTCCCCAAAAAATGCATATTTGAAGCTCCCTTTCCTTTATTGGGGTGGAGGGATACTAATTTTGGACTATCAGTTATAAATTGGCTTTTGTGTGGATCCACTTAGATCATACAATTGCCTATTACTATAGTTTCCTGATATTGAATTTTTTTTATCTTCCCGCTCCGTGTCTTATTTTGGAGATGCATAATACTAATGATACTCTTTTAGGAAGAAGAAGTGAGAAAAGGAGAGCTAGAAGCAGACAAAGATAAAATGATGAGGGAATACAGGGCTCAGCTAGATGCTGAAAGGGCCAGCAAGCTCTCTCAGGGAAGGAATCATTCCAGCAGTAAACACAGTAGCAAAAAGGGTAAAATGTTCTGAAATTTCTTAACGGGAGTCAATTTTTCTAGTTCTTTTAGTTATTTTATATCTTAGTGCGTGTCAAATTTCTAGTTGACTTAGATCAGTTCGTTCTTGATGGTGAAATGCATTCATGCAGATAAGAAGGACAAAGATACAAAGAAACAGAGAAGCAAAAAGAGAAAGGTGAAGATTTTTTTCAATCTAGACTCTCTTCTTTTCTTTGCTTGTGAGAATGAAAAAAGTTAACTACAATCTTCGTTGGATTATGCATGGTTGTCTTGTTATACCATGAAAGAAACATCAATGCTTAAGGAGTTTTGAATTCTATTGGTTTTGCTATCCTAAAACCTGAATTGTCTTGCTTGACACCGTATAGTTTGCATCCATAAATAATGAAACCAAATGCTATTTTTGGGATCAGAATTTAATCTGTAATTATTCTAACAGAAAATAATTTATGTAACTTCAACATTACCAGTTTCAAAAAAAAAAAGTTTTATGTAACTGAAAACAGTGAAACCCCTAGTTAAAAAAGTGCAAATACCCGCTTGTATCTTCAGTAAGAATCAGTTAAGCCCATTTTGATCGATTAGGGGTTCCGCTAGTGTTAGATTTGAAGTCTTCAATTAAGGGTTTCAGGGTGGGAGCATTGGTGCTTGGGGTCTTTTACTTCCATGTTATGGCCATGGCCTTCTGCTAGTCTCATGTTTTCTAGCAGCACCTTTTCATTTCACTAAGCCCTTTAACTCAAGTATACTGTAGCCAATGAAGACCAAAGAGTAAGAAATTTTAGTTTCAGGTTAGATAATTTTTTTTTTTTTTTTTTGACGAAGTAAAGGGTTTCATTAAGGAGCATCAGGGTGAAGATTTGTCTTCTTAATTGTCAAAAAGTAAAGATTTGTCTTCTTTCCTCATTGCTTTCTTTTGTTGCAGAATGAATCCTTGAGCCGACTTACTAATGAGATTTAAAGGATTTTTGAGTCTGCCTATTATTAAGTTAACTTGAGCAGTGTTCATGGTATAAGAACATCCAATATTTACTAGTTCACTGTAATTGGTATAAATGCTTACAATTCCACCTATATATGTCATGATGAAATTTCAAAGTGATAGATTGAATGTTGAATTGGTCCCATTTGATAAGAGAGTAATTTTATACCCAAGGGTGTGTCCTATTGGTCAATGAAGTGGGTTGAGAATCATGAGGTCTTAGGTTTAGATCCTAGCAGAGACAAAACCACTATTTGATTCTTCTCATTTCTCCTAGCCTTGGAAGAATGAGTTGGCTGGTACCTGTTGTGGGTGGGAGGTGACATGTATCTCGTGGAATTAGTCGAGGTGCGCACAAGTTGAATGGATTTCAGAGTAATAAAAACAAACAGAGAGTAATTCTCGCGGTTAAGCCCTCCTCTTCCAACCAAAATTTTGGGAGTTTGTGTCAACATCGGGGAAGTGTGGAAACAAATCTTTTGGCTATTTGGCCCTAAGGGAGGGCGTTTGGGGTTTACAAAATCACCCGAAGAAGTGAGTTGGCCCTGATATCTTGATTGTTACTTCTCTTGTCTTAAAGGTACGGACTATGTTGTAGTAACATAGTCGGAAGAAAGGATGTGATAATAAGTAAGACAAGGTAATTATTAGATGACTTTGGAATGAAAGAAATATAAAAAACATTTAACAACCTGAAAAGAATAAAATAATTAAAAGAAGGTAACTCATATTTGAGTATATGAACCCTTCGGGGTGGCCCAGTGGTTTGAGCTTGGGACTTCCATGTTGGAGGTCTCAAGTTTGAAACCCCTTGCCAGCGAAAGCAAGGGGTTTGCCTTCTGGGTTGAGCTCGTTGCACTAGGCTTGCCTAGTGTGGGTTATCTCTCCTATGTGGTTTGCGAGCTATTGCATAGAAGCGGGGGTTTTACCCTGTGCGCACCCAAATGGTAGCGGCTGCGGGTTTCCCTTGTCATAACAAAAAAATAAAATATTTGAGTATATGAGATAAAAATTGACACATGCCAATCTTCAAACTCACAATTGAGAGCTTCATATGTACTTCAATAAGCATCTGAATGGGTAGTTGGTTGACCAAAAATTTTGAACTTAATTAAATCTGTTAGCCATCAGTTATCAAGATGTCCTAATTTTAATTGATATGTCTATCAAATGTTGAATATGCTATAGCAGGTGACCTTAATGAATTTCCATGAAAAATAGCTTAGCAATTGTCAAATAGTCTATATACGTTTTTCTCGTGTTGAATCGTGAATGTAGACGAAAAAATTGTACTTGGAAGGAATGAAGTTCTCCCTTGTACAAGGAATTAAAAAAGGAGGGAATTCTCAAATAGTGAAACTGTTATGATTCTTAGAAGGAAGGATCGATTCACAGGGGATATATAAATCAGCTCGTTAAAGGGAGGCTGAAACCTTAGAATTCATTAAAAGAGAACTCCGATCTCTTCAACTCTTCAAAGGGAGACTGAAACCTTAAGAGTTCAATGGAAGAGAGAACTCTAATCTCCTGTTTTTTACTGAATTATGATTTACTGATTTAATCATCAAAAGCCCCTTTAAATAGGAGTTTTATTACATCAATAGGAAGTCTAATTCTAATGAAAGTAGGAGACCTAAATCCTATTCCAAACTAATAACTATAACTTAACCTAATCCTTATGAAATTATGAAACATAAATCCTATTCTAGAATAATAAATAAAACAACTAAAAATATAATTAAATACTTAATTTAAGGGCTTCCAACGCATCCACAACAGAAACCTATATTCAGCAACTACCAACCCCAAATTTGAGTTAACCAAAATTCTAAGCCTTCCCATACCATCACAACAGCCTTCGAAAAGCGAAACAGAAGATAAGCTTAAACACCACTTTGAGGGCCAACAATCTTCTACTTTCTTTCTAAAATGTCTTTTTAATTATTTTAGATTTCAATCTTTCTAGTTCTTGCTAATTTCTTTGATCACTATACCATTGATTTAGGTTTATATTTAACAAATAGTATGCTATTTAAATATACCAGTATACTGTTGGTTTAGGGTTATCTTTAACATAGTAAACTATAAGTATACCAGTAAACCATTGATTTAGGTTTATAATTGACAAATAGTATGAAATTGGGGAACTTGGAATTTGTAACAAACTTTTAGGGAAGAACTATTGCAGGTAAAGGATTTGTGGGTAAAACATTCCTAGTGAACTAAATACGAGAAACATATGAACTTGACCACCCCTTCTTGCTCTGCGCGATAACAACGAGGAGGAGCGCTTTTGAGCAAAAGTAAAGACCCGCTCCGCCAGAGAGTGTAAAGAACCTGGGGTGATTCGGTATTGGATGTGATTTGTTTCTAGTTTTCTCATAAAAAATAATTTGTTTTTAAAAAGCTGTATAGAGTGTTGTGAATGTGGTACTAGATGTAATTTTCAAAAAGGTGTGGTAATTTTATAAGGGAAAAAGGACAAATATACCTCCGAACTTTCGTAAATGATATCTAAATACCCTTCGTTATACTTTTTGGACACTGATGTCCTTACCGTCCAAATTTTGGGACGTATATAACCTTTCTACTAACTGCGGGACACATGTCGCAATCTAAAAGCGCCTACCCAAAACCCACCCGAATTTATCAAAACCCACCCACAAATTATAACCCAAAACCGCCTACTCTTTTATCCACCCATTTTGATTCTAAATTCCATTATAAACAAATCCACATAATTTTTTGTTAGCAAATGCAATTTCATCAACCCATTTTGATCCTCAATTAATTATAAACAGACCTAGATAAAATTTTGTTAGCAAATTCCAAATGATTTTTTGTTATATTTAGCTTTTAAAAAATAATTTATGATGCTCCAATTTAAACAATTTTTTTCTCATAAAACTTTGGCAGCAACAAATGCTTAGTTGAATACTACATCAAATTCCTTGACTTGAGGAGAAAAAATTCTTTTACCTTCACTATAAATTCTTTTAAATTGTTTTTTAAAAGCCAAATATAATAGTCACATTTTTAATATTACTAGGAATTTTATTAAATACTACGTCAACTTCTTTCTTCTCCTCTGCTCGACCTGGGGCGTTGATGACGGCGGCAGAAGTGAAGATGCGGCTGAAACTCCAAGCTTGACTACCTTCTCCGGTGCTTCAATGGTGGCAAGAGGGTGGACGGAAGTTGCTTGGTAGTGGTGGAGATTGGGAGTGCGAATGGGGAGTTCTAGGGTTTTGGTGGGGAAGAAAATTGAAGCTTTTTAATTTGGATTTGGTGGAGAAGATGATAAGTGTTTAGAGAAGTTTTGGGTTATAATTTGGGTGGGCTTTTTAATTAATCCGGGCAGGTCTTTTATTTATGGGTTGAAATTTCATAAATTTTGGATAGACGTTTTAGATTGCGACACGTGTCTCACCGTTAGTAGAAAGGTTATACACGTCCCAAAATTTGGACGGTAAGGACATCAGTGTCCAAAAAGTATAACGAAGGTTATTTAGATACCATTTACGAAAGTTCGAGGGTATATTTGTCCTTTTTCCCATTTTATAAAAATGTTTTGTAAAATAGATTTTCATGTATATTTTCCGAAATTAGAAAAGGGAAAAAGGAATAGAATATCAAAATGTAGTTCTAACTTTTTTTTTTTTTTTTTTTTTTTTTATATTTGATAAATATGATACTATGTCTAAGTTGTACAAAATATATTGGATAGATTACGGATGACCAAGTATTCCAACTGGCATTCCTTCCATTTTTTAGTTCTGCATGTTTTCTTCTAACATGTAGTACCATATCTCCCTGTTCCTTGCCAATCTAGGCTACTGATGCCGTCTTCGTGCGACTGTTGTTGTCTAAAGATAGTTGGAAAGTTCATTGTAGAAGGTTATCACTGTATAATTCTTCATTCCAGAAACCAACTGTGGTGCCCTTTTACGCCTTAAGTGTGACATCCCTCTAGAAGTTCTCCCATCCATATGTTGTTCTCTTCATAGGGATACATAGTCACGTAGAGGCGGAGCAAAGATTTGAAGATTATGGGTTCGGGATTCTAATCCCTTTATGTTACTGGGTTCTAAATTATTAGTTTTTACATATTCAATGGATTTTGTTAATACAAATACAAAGTTTGGACCAAAGTTACTGTTTTAGGCTAGACACGTAATGTTCACATTAGGGGTTCCCTTGGGGATACACCATTCAACATGTTCATATGACCAATCCCTCCCCCCCGCCCACCCGCCCATCCCCCACCCATGTTTCATATGCGTTGACAATAATCTTTCTCTAAAATGCTTGATCCTACATGCTGTACCGTCCTATCCATTTGTGTAGGTAAGACACTACTGAATACCCTCGAGTCTTTTATCTCTTGAACCCGCCACCTTCATAAGAGGAGTGACTAATTTCAATTGCCAAATTAAACCCTCTTACCCTTTTGAGTTCCATAAGAAATTTCTTTCCAATTGCTTTAGCTTTTCTGCTATGTTGATCGGCACATTAAATATATAATAGGTCAAAATTTTGGACAAAGTGTTCTTAGGAAGTGTCTCCCTCCCCTTTGATATGTTCTTATTTTACTATTCTGTAACCTCTTTTACACTTTCTCCATCACTGCATTCCATGCCGCTTTCTTCTTGTGTCTTGCACCCAATGATAATTTGTTTACTGTCCTTCCTTTCCCTGGCTGTGCATCTCCTCAGATAACCTTCAATTACTACTTCATTCATCATCATGATAAGAGAGTTCCCATCACTAATATGTACAACTTAGAGAACAAAGGATCTCCTTGTTATAAACCTTTGAACTTTTGAAGAAATCTGAGGGAGTTCGTTGACCAAAGCTGAGAACTTGACCATGGATATGCAAAATTGAATGCACGGTCTTCATTTGTCCCCGAAGCCAGTTTTTTCATTATGCAGCCAAGAAGCTCCATTTTGACACGGCCATATGTCTTATCTAAATTCAGCTTGCAAGACTCTGCTTCCTATTTTTCGTTCTTGAGTTCACTACTTCATTTACAATCAAAAAAACATCCAGCCCTTTTTCCTTCCAAGTATATGAGTCATTGACATGGTGCTGTCGAAGACCTTAAATCAAAAGAAAAACACTTATAGCTCTGAAATCCTTGATATTGTATGCCCTGTCTAATAATTGCAATTAAAGAAGAATTAATACTCTTTTCAAATTTTCTTGTAGAATTCAATGCCTTATTGCACTCATGATGTCTTCTTTTAATTAGTCTCCAACATTGACAAAAGAACTTGTGAAACCGTTAGGGCGTGGTACTTTTCCCTTTGTCCTCTGCATAGCTACTAATTGCCTTTGATACTTCCTCCTCCAAGAACTTCATCCGGGGTACTCTCTTATTTGCCCCCATTTGCTTAACTTCACTCCCAATTTTGGTCTCCTCTCCAATTCCTTATGCCTTGTATATGGAAGCCCTTAATAGCCCTTTTACTTGCTCTTTTTCCTCATACTTTGTTTAGCTTTAGTCAATCAGTGGAAAGTTAATGTGGCAGACATAGTCACCCTTTTTAGCCACAACATCATTAATTTTGATCTCTTGGCCAATTGTCGTATTTGCTAACTCCCCCTTCACCTTTCAATTTTCTCTTGCTTGTTTAAATCCATCTCACCGATTTCATTGCTAACTCCGCAGCTCGTTCATTTTATCCCTCAGCTTTATTTCTACCCTCTGAACCACTTTATTGTTCCATCTTCAGTCATTTCTAACAGATTCAACTTCCTGCCAAAGAGAAATGTGGGTGTCCATGGACTTGATAAACTTCTCCACCAGTTCCCCACTAGTTCTACTTAGTTGCATGCCTTCTACCAACATATTTTCAGATCTGAAAAGGTTTTCAACCTCTTTCATCCTACTACCATCTAGCAAGATGGGCAAATGGTTTAATGTGAGCCTGGGAAGAGGAATCTGGGTGCCCTCTGGAAATGTTTCCTCCCACTGTGTCTAGATAAGAAATTTGTCTAATCTCTGCAAATATCCTTCCCGCCTTCACATTCGAATTCCCCAAGATCTTTCTGGACTCAAGAATCTTTGAGAAATTCCTTTCTTTTCCCTCCTGTCAAGCATTTTCTTATTTCCCTGCTTTGGCCCTGGCTCTTCCTTTGCATCCACCATCTTACTCATCTTCATTTCGCCCTCTGCACAACAATCCCCTCTGGCAACTATTCATTACTTGCTATTCATGTAAATGATATTGCTGCCCGTCATTTCTTTCATCTGAAATTCATTTTGCTTTAAGGTACCTTTATGATCAGTAAGAATGCATTGAAAAGACCTAGTAGATAAGTAGAAATAGAGGGCCTTCGATCAGAACTAATATTTGGATTTTTGAGTGTTTGTTTTTCCTTCCTTGAAAGTTCTGTGTGGGACAGATATCTATGTTCCCAGTATGCATCTAACTGAAGGAAATGGCCGATGTATTTTCCTTTTTTCATATCCTCACAAGTTATGACCTTCAAGAATTACAAAGGAAAAATTAATATTACACATAGGGTACTTGGGTCGGAGAGATTCTTAGTCTAAAACTCTTGTAGGTGGTATTAGTACAAGAAATTAAACCTTATGTTTTATTCCACAGTAGGTAAGGCAAAACATCTGCTGTGCTTTTAGTTTGTTAGAGACTATTGTTTGTTAGAGAGAATGCAACAACTTTTTGCTTAATTACTTGTACATATTGTGTTAAGAATTTATAAGTTGTTTCTCTGGACTGTCAGTTCATATTTGAAGATCTTCAGAATGGACTTGTGTGATTGAGTACACTACATTTGAATGACACATATATATTACCTAAACTGATTCAGCGTTCAAGGAGATATTCCGATTCCAGCTCTTCAAGCTCATCATCTGAATCTTCAAGTTCTGACGATGAGGATAGAGAATCCAGAAAATCAAGATCCAAGTCTAAGAGAAGGAAGAAAGAAAAGAAGCACCAGTCGAGGTCGAGGTTGAAGCAGTCTACAAGCGATGATGAAGCTGATGGTCCTTTGCCACTTTCTAGATTCTTTGGCAGCATAAAAAGCTAATGCCTCATTTGACATGTAATTCTACTTTTTCTTCTTCTGATGATGATATTGGATGTGATGGATCCTTTTTATTTGTTATTATAATGTTATTGAGGATCGTTGGTTCGTCGATGAGGGTTATGTATCCTGGTTTTAAATGAAATTCTACATTTAGTGAAAACAATTGTAAAACTACTTACTTACACATGTTCCAAGCTCCCATATTTTTGAAAAGGCTTCTCTACTTGCAGACTCATAATGAAGTGGAAGAAGGGTCAGGTAAACTTTTAGTCAAGCTACAAGAAAAGTTCACAAAATTGTATCAACAAAACTGTCAAGCATTGAAAACACATGTGAGTCTAGGGATGGACATAAATACTAGAAAGCTGAAAAACTGAACCGAATTGAACTAATTAGGTTCTTTGATTTCAGTTTTTCAGTTCGGTGTTTCCTTCTGGAAACTTCTGGGTCTTGAAATTTCAGTGCACCCGAAGAATCAAAATTTTATTAAATAAATTTAAAATTATATTACTTATATAATTTTACCCAAAACATTTTAATTTTGAACCAAATTTTGGAGCCCTAGCCCCTAATTCCTAAATTAAACATAACTCATAACCTCCTTTGTCTTCACACCCTCTAGCGAGTAGCGACCATGTTATAAATGTTTCATGTTATGCGTTGACAATTTCTGGGTTGATAATGTTTCATATTATACGTTGAACAATCCAGCACATTATTTTCCAGAAGATAGCACATGAATCCACTATGCTGGCCTGCTGGGTGGGTTCATACAAATATATATTTCATACAGAAATCCACTATTTCTGTATGTCCAGGTGTACTTGCACCCTTTCAACCCAAGGTCTACCATATTACATGATTGTTTAGACAATGTCTAAAAGTGTTGGATCTAAAATTATTAATGTATCTCCCTCCATATTTTTCATTGGCCTTCCTTCATGGAAGCCCCCCCTCAATAATCCAGTCTCCTACAATGGTTTTAGGTAAATTTGAAAGTCATTTAATTACTAGCTTAAATGACATTAAAATACCAAGATCTAGAGTCTAAAATTACTTGGACCATCACATAAATGCTTTGGGCAGTGATGGAGATGCCACTGAGAGTCGGTCCTTTTTCCACATGCCCAAATAGTCCTTTAACAAAAGACTGAATCTGAGTGTCAAATTTGAGGGCCTCAATCAAGCACCTGTGCTCAACTATTCCGATCTTAAGGAGAAGTAAAAATATTGTTGGATTATACATCTTACCATAGCTTCACATTGGCGGCGCTATATATTTGCTCCCCTCACATTCCAAACAATGAAGTTCATTAGAATTAACTGAGTTGGTGGTTGTTCCATGGGGCTTTTCCCATTCTCCATTTGACAATTCCTTCATAAGTCTTTCACTTGTAAGCTCTTTGAGAAATAGTCTTTCCAAGACGACAACGTTCCTACAAGGAGGCTAAGAGAAGTTCCATCTCTTTGGTGTTTTTCTTTAGGATTTCTAAGGCCGACCTCTTTTTGGCCTTCTACCTCTGTTTGATCCCGTCTTGATTGTGACCATGGGACGAAAGCAGGGGTTCAATGTTGACTCTAACAGTGATGTCATTAGGAAAAAAATGGATGTTGTGAAAGATTTGTTCCATGAGGCTGTTAAATGTTGGCATCAATATTAGATTTTGGATGCCCATCAATTGAGAATGAAGCAACATTTAAGTCCAAATCAGGTGGCCCAGGATCAACAGTAGGTCTCTAACGTTGACTTAGAGGGAGAGAAATCATCCATATAGTGCAAGTTTCAACCACGACAAATGGGAGTGATCTGGTGATTACAGCGTTGTGACTAGCACTAAAGGTGGTATCTTGTCTTGTTGGGTTTTCGACTGTGAGTTAACCATTTTTTGGAGTAGGAGTGGTAGCCATAGAATGAGGAGGTTCAGGAGAGAATCCACTTCCCCTAGTAAAAGGTACGGGTGGAGAGTTAATTGAAGTTATCATTTCATTTGAGCGGAAGTGATGATAGAGTAGGGATTATTCCGATAAGAAATTGGGGGTGGTGGTGGCTTCCATGGAGTAGTTTCGAGTAAATCATAGTACGAATGGAGTGTGTTGTTATCCCCAATGGATACTTCTCCATTAATGGCATAATCTTGAGGAGATATTTTACATCTCTCGAGAGATCCTCTAGTTAGAGAGTTTAAAGAAACAGGATGCGAATTGATGGTCTCTTTTAAGGTAGTGTGTGACAACTTAGATACTATAGATTTTGCTGGCTGGTCCCAGTGAAGTTGGTTTTGTGATTTTTTTTTAATCTAAGAGTATTCTGGAGATTGCTCCAGCTTACTACAATTAATCAGGTTGGTACTTGAAAAGAAATATATATTATTTTAATTTTGGTTTGAGAGCTTATTTGATGCTGCTTCAGTGAATTTTACCTGTATGGTGTTTTGTGCATATTCTCTAACCAACATTATAAGTGTGCTGGTTTGTTGGTCCTTTTTTTCCTTTTAGGGATTTGACATCCATCTTATGATTTCTGCATTTTGGAGGTAGAGGTTGCCTATAAATTTGCTACTATTTTGTTGGAGTTCAAACACTTCCTTAAAACGCCCACAGTTTGTGCACGAAATTCCTTCCCTTTCATAGATACTCTTTGAATGTGATTTTCCTTCATGATCTCATTTCTTATCTAATGGAACTTGGATGCATATATTCGTTCTTAGCATCCACGATGTACAAGTATCGATTTTCAGTAGTAGGCTTAGCTTTTTTCCTAATTTTTTAAAGTATTTTCCTATCACATAATTTAGTTTGGAGTTGATGGAGCCTGATCTAAATTGCAGTATGGGTGACCATGACTGTCCAGAACAAAGTTTGGTTTACAGATAAGAAACTATCTGCTACGAACCAAGGCCCTTCATGAAATATTTTGCTCATGTTTTTCTCTTGATTGAATTTCGCAATATAGAAATCTTAACCCAAGTCTATGAGGGTGAGGGGATCTAATTTCTTGCACATATCTGTCAATTTATTTCTCAGATAATTGAGGGACAGTTTATTTGATTTTAAAAAGGAAACTTTTTAAATTTCGAATAAATTTAGAAAGATCATTTCTTTGAATTTGAATCTTCCTCTCCTATTAAGTCACGTGAAGATGCAGAATCCCTTCACAGGGTCTTCATCCACACCATTTGTATTATACAATGATTTTACAGGTCTGACGGTTTTAGGGATGGTATCTTGCTGCTCAAATTGAGGGACATTTAGGACCTGTTTGGAAGAACATCCTGATAGTTTGATTTGGTGTAATTACATTGTCTTGTCCTGTTTTGAAGGACTAGTAATTACTTGGTCAACATGTAATTGATGTAATTGACAGGGGGTAATTACACTCTACAATGAGGTTGTGAATTGCCACGTAATTACCACCTGATTATGTTTTAATTTCTTTATTTTATTTTTATTTTTATTTTTTTGTTTTAATTTTTTTACTTCTATTATTTTAAGTTCTTTTTTTATTTTTATTATTCTAAAAATTTGTAAGTTTATTTTTTATTGTATATTATTATATTTCATTTTCTTCTTGTTCTCAACCTTACTTTACGTGATTCTATATAATTTTCTCGTATTATCTATTTCTTTATGTCATACTTATTTTCTCATTAGCATAATTTTATTAGTATTCTAATTTTTAAATTAAAATAGAATTTATTGTTAAGTAAGGTTATGGACTTACGTTTTCTTTATCAAGGAAATATAAAAATAAATCATATTTATTGCTATGTTGAAATTTGTTATAAGAGTATTATGTTAAATTTTTTGTTTTGAATTTATAACATATTTTATATTTTCAGTTTCATTTGTTTTAGTAATATTGATTTTACATTGCACGTCATTTTTTAATTAGACTTGATAGATTATATTTTTGTCAAACATTTAATAATTTATGACATTTTATTTATATATTATTCTTTTTATCAAACATGCATTTCACGATGTTCATAGAAATTTCATACTTTTAGTTGTTACGATCAATTCAATTGAAATATATTAATTTGACAAAATATAAATCAATTATTTTTTCATAATATTAGTTACAGAAAATATGTTTATTAATTAATATATTTTCAAAAAAGAATATATATCTTAAATATTTAATTTAATGTCATTTATAAAGTTTTTTATTTGTTTGGTATAAATTTTAAATAATTAATTTTTATTTTTAAAATTTATTATAATTTTATGATTGCAATTGTGCATCCAAACAGAACATGTGTAATTACATTGTGGCATCCAAACATGACATGTGTAATTACACTGTGGCAACCAAACAGGTCAGTGTAGTTATTAGATAATGTAATTACTAGGCTGGTAATTACTACCCTAGTAATTACACCAATTTCAATTACAAAGTGGCTTTCCAAACAGACCCTTAGGAGTTTTTGTAGGAGCTGAGGTCTTCTAGTGGGAGAATTTTTTTGAAGAAATATTTCTTTTTTTAGTGGGGACATAGTTAATGTGGAAAAAGAGCGCGCAATCATACTTATGAAGCCCATGGTTATCATTATTTGATTAATAATTTTTTTAATAAAAAGAATCACAAAATTAGATGAGAAAAAAACAAAATCCTCCTCCCTTTTTCATTACGATAAAAACTTAGGATCTCATATTTTACGTCAAATCAATAAATATATGACATGTGTTTGTATATTAACTTTTAATATTTAATTAATTAACGTACGTTCTCACCTCAACAAATTAGTTAATTATTACAAATTCACAAAATTTGATATAAACACTCTTAGAGTAAATATTTATCCTCCCGTTACTTATCTTTCTTGGGTTTATTACTAAAATGGAAAAATAACTAACGTTTGTCAAAGAATTTAAAAGAAGATGGCAGTTACTACGTCTATGTTAAGTGCATAACACTAAGGGGTCGTTTGGAACAAATATTGATAATGTAGGGATTAGCAATGCAAAGATTAGTAACACAGTAATTAGTAATGCAGGGATTAGTAGTGCAAGGATTATTTTTTGTCAAGTGTTTGGTTCATTACTT